CAGAGCTAACAGCTAACAGAGCTAACAGCTAACAGAGCTGTTGGTGTTAGAGCTAGCAGAGCTAACAGAGCTAGCTGTTGGTGGGGTTAAAGCTAACAGAGCTAGCAGAGCTAACAGAGCTAGCTGTTGGTGGGGTTAGAGCTAACAGAGCTAGCTGTTGGTGGTGTTAGAGCTAACAGAGCTAGCAGAGCTAGCAGAGCTGTTGGTGGGGTTAGAGCTAACAGAGCTAGCTGTTGGTGGTGTTAGAGCTAACAGAGCTAGCTGTTGGTGGGGTTAGAGCTAACAGAGCTAGCAGAGCTAGCAGAGCTAGCAGGTGGTGGTGTCTCCTGGCTACATGTCTCCACAGAGGGGCTCAGAAGGGAAAACACCCACCTGACTCCTGTTGGATATGTGAATTTGCGTATATTCGACTTCCTCCTCGCCCCTGACTGAATCTGAAAAAGAGACAAAGTCTGAGGTGAGTTTCTGCCTCATGAGACAGAACAACAACAAAAACATGCTGGGAAGTAAGCAATTATTCCTTTCTGGGAATGAACAGAACAAATACCTGCCTTGTGTTTGTCTGACTGTCGTCTTTTCGTTGGACAGTCTTCTCTTAAAGCAGACGGAGAGCAGAACTACGGCTATCAGGAACCCAGCAGAGGTCACAGCTGCAATGATCCAATAACCTGAAACAGAACCGGACACAGCCAGGACTCAGAACCCAGTTCAAACGGGGGGCGGGTCTGGAGGTAAAAGGACTCTTACTGTGTCACATTCTTACAACAAACGCTGGTCTAAATAGCTGACGTACAAGAGCAAGGAAGCATAACTAGGTGTATTATCTTGTAATGTATTATTTTGTTTCTGTTTTTCTACTTATCTAAGTATCAGTGCCCCAAGTTCTGTGTGTGTTGTATGTTTTATTGAGCAAGGAAGCATAACTAGGTGTATCATCTTGTAATGTATTATTTTGTTTCTGTTTTTCTACTTATCTACCCCCCTCTACCCCACTAATTTACCCAATACTACGTTCAACTTTTTCTGGTTTGTCGTTGGACATTCAATATTTTATTTTATTATTTATTTTATTTTATTCTATATTTTTATATTTTTATTTCTACATTGTATGTCGTTTCTTGAAGTGTTGTGCACCTAACACCAAATCAAATTCCTTGTAGGTGATAAACCTACTTGGCAATAAACCTAATTCTGATTCTGATTCTGATCTAAGTATCAGTGCCCCAAGTTCTGTGTGTGTTGTATGTTTTACTGAGCAAGGAAGCATAACTAGGTGTACTATCTTGTAATGTATTATTTTGTTTCTGTTTTTCTACTTATCTAAGTATCAGTGCCCCAAGTTCTGTGTGTGTTGTATGTTTTATTGAGCAAGGAAGCATAACTAGGTGTATTATCTTGTAATGTATTATTTTGTTTCTGTTTTTCTACTTATCTAAGTATCAGTGCCCCAGGTTCTGTGTGTGTTGTGTGTTTTACTGAAATGAAAAATGTTAAATAAAGAGTATAAAAACAAAAAGGACTCTCACTGTGCCTGTTCTCCGGGTCTCCCGTCGGGTTC